GTTGCCCCACTCTGACTATACCATCCTCCACTCTTCTGAGAAGCCTTGCACGAGAAGTTGGAGGTCAGGTACTGATGTTGGAGGAGAAGACCCGGGCTCACAATTGGTGTCCCAATTCGCCCCAAAGGCATTCAGTAGAGTTGAGGTCATGGCTCTCAAGTTCCTCCACCAATCTGGTCACGCCATGTCTTAATGGGTTCAGTCAATCTCCGACTCTCAGCTTCTCCGATTAGGCTCCTCACTCTCCATGACTGGTCACCTAACTGTCCCCAATCTCTCCTCCCCCTTTCTCTGATTGGGCTCCTCACCTAGTATGGAGATGCCCCCTTTGTGGCTAGAACACCCTCCAATCTGAAGGCTTCAACATGATTTTGGAAGGTGTCTGCGGGAAATGGTTCCCATTTGTAAGGGCTGAGAATTGATAGAATTCATCCCGGGGGTGGTCAGTAGGGTTGAGGTCAGGACTCTGTGCAGGACACTCGAGTTCCTCCATCACACTGGTCACACCATGTCTGTATGGAGCCCCCCTCTCCCCCCATGTCTGTATGGATTCAGTCAATCTCCAAATCTGATCAACTTCTCTGACTGGCCTCCTCACTGTCCCCCAACTCCCATCACCTTCATTTGATTGGGTCCTTCACCATTCTCATCTCTCCATACCCAATATGAAGTACCCCCATGGCCATTAAAATGGGGTCGCTCATTTGTTGCTACAACATCCTCCACTCTTCTTTCCACAAGATTTTGGGGGGTGTCTGTGGGGAATTTGTCCCATTTGTGAGGTCAGGTACTGATGGTGGAAGGGAAGACCGGGGCTCACAGTCAGTGATCAGTAGGGTTGAGGTCAGGGCTCTGTGCAGGACACTCGAGTTCCTCCAAGCTGGTCACCCCATGTCTGTATGGAGCCCCCCCTCCCCCCATGTCTTTATGGAGCCGGCTTTGTACACAGGGGACAGTCATGGGGGGGACAGAAAAGGGTCTTCACCAAACTGTGACCACAAGGCTGGAAGAGCCCATTATATTGCGGTGATGGAGAAGAAGGTGAAGTGGATTTTGTGGTTAGAAGATAAGGAGGAGCTCTGACAGTTTGACTTTCACTCCAATAGAAGCGTCCCTTGTTATGGTACGGAGACCGCTCACCTCTGCGTGTAGGCCATCGGAGGTGACGAGTTTGGTGGCGGTCATCTCGTTGGCGGTCAGCGTCCCGGTCTTGTCTGAGCAGATGACGGTACAGCAGCCTGGGAGAAGACAGACGTGTGACAGACGTGTGACGTGTGGGGAACATACAAGGGATCGGCCATCAGACCAGAGACTGCGGACAATACATCTCTGTGTGCCGGGGACGATCGCGCCGCTCTCTGACCTCATCGGCGGGGAAGAACTTTGCCGGTCTAAATGTTTAAAAACTCTCCCCAAATATCTGCCCCCCAAGTGTGGAATCCGCGTAATCAAAGCATTATTCATGGAGGTCACAACCTGGACACCCGCAGGGCTCCTGTCTACGCTGCCCTGTGAACGATCCGGTTCTGACGGGTCCAATACTCTACCTAGGGTCTCAACGATCGGCAGCTTCTTCACAATGACACGCTTTTTGGCCATCCTCATCACGCCGAGCGCCAGCGTCACGGTGACAACGATGGGCAGACCTTCAGGAATGGCGGCTACGGCCAAACTACAAGGAGAGGAGAAAACACAATGAGCAGCCAAAGACAATCCCCAGAGAGACCCGGGACTGGTACCCCCGACTCTCAGACCGGGCGCTGCATTATGGGGGGGCAGTGGATGGGTCAGGGGTACCGGGTATTCACCATGGCTTCACGGGGGGAAGGGGTGTAGGGGGGAGCATGATGAATATAAGAGAAGACACCTTGGGGTGCCTCTGACACAGCCTAATGGTGAATGTGTACGGAGTGCAGGCGGGGACAAGATTGTATTGGTGGGAAGGAAGACGGATGATGTCCAACACAGACGCCCCAGGAGTCCCCCCTACCAGTCCTCCTACATGGATGTCCCATTGTCCCCATACAGAGACAGCCATAGCAGTCCCAGTACACTGATTGGCCCAGCAGTCTTCCTACATGGTTCCCTCATCGGCCCCATACAGAGGCACCCTGGTAGTCCCAGTAAACAGACGCCCCAGTAGTCCCCCTACTTGGACACCTCAGCAGTCCTCCTACATAGTTCCCTCATCGGCCCCCTACAGAGGCACCCTGGTAGTCCCAGTACACAGCTTGGCCCAGCAGTCCCCTTACATCACATGAACTATGTCAGGCAGGGAGTGAGGAGTGGAGAGGCCAGGCAGCTATAAGGAGGCCCATTCCTCCAGACTCCCCTCCCGGAGGCCACGATGAAGCAGCCGTGACATTTAAGTGTCTGTAGTCGGTCACAGACTTCATAACCGAGCGATGAGACATTTGCTGAGTGACGGATCCTTTCATGTCTGGACATCATTCGGGCTCCTCGTGATGTTTTATTTATAGATTTGACAAGTCTGAAGAGTTCGGAGACGTGCGATCGCCGGGAACACGCTGATCCCGACCCTGGGGCAAATGGCTGTGACTGAAAGACAGCGGGATGAGTCATGTGACTGAGGAGCTGCAGAGTGGTCATGTGACTGAGGAGCTGCGGGGTGGTCATGTGACAGGGGGGCTGCGGGGTGGTCATGTAACGGAGGGGCTGCGGGGTGGTCATGTAACGGAGGGGCTGCGGGGTGGTCATGTGACGGAGGGGCTGCGGGGTGGTCATGTGACGGAGGGGCTGCGGGGTGGTCATGTGACGGAGGGGCTGCGGGGTGGTCATGTGACGGAGGGGCTGCGGGGTGGTCATGTGACGGAGGAGCTGCGGGGTGGTCATGTGACGGAGGAGCTGCGGGGTGGTCATGTGACAGATGGCACTGTGTGAACGTACCTGACGCCGATGGTGAACATGCTGAGGAGGGGCTTCCCCTGCAACCAGCCGATCAGCATGATCAATCCTGCAAGAGAGACGCGGTAAGAGGACGCGGTAAGAGGACGCACGGGGAGGACGCACGGGGAGGACGCAGAGATAAGAACGACATACGAATTGTTACTCACCAATGATGCCGAAGGAGAAGAGAGAGAGCTGCTTCCCCAGCTTGTCCATACTCTTCTGCAGGGGGGTCTTCGGGGTCTGAAAGAGAGGAGCAAATGAGAGGCATTCATTGGTGGATCACACTGAGGCATCACCGGCCACTGCTGGCTGAGACCACCGTGATAGCAGAGCGACCGACCGCTCTCTGCGGATTGGTGGATGTATACAAAGTGGGAGGGGCAGCATTCAGGGGCCATAAGAATGTCATCCGTTGAGGAGAATATTATTAGAAACCAGATAATGTTATAAAATGGTCTCTGCTCCTTGAATCTGCCGTCCCGACAACGGCCCCGCCCCTGCCGAACACCAGCACGGCTCATGCAGGAGCAGAGCAACATCCCAGCTGCATCACAATACCGGGATGTAAAGTGTCACAGGGACAGGATGCGAGGGGACGTCTCTCCAGCGGGGACACAGACAGATGACAATCTTTCCCCGCACCACCCAAACGCGGCTTAAAAAAAAAATGGCGGACACGTCATGTGACACATCGCGTTATACACAGACCTCCTCCGCTTGCATCATCTTGAAAACTTCACCAAACTGAGAATTTTCCCCGACGCCGATGACCAGACCCTGCCGGAGAGAACGGGAACGTCAGGAGAGATGCAAAGTACGGCTCCCCGGAGAGCTGTGCCAGGTCACAACGCAGGTCGGTGTCGGGTTTCCCTCACTTTGGAGATTTCCTCCCACTTCCTGTTGTGCGTCTCTGGGACAGGAAGTCAGGGATAATCTCCCCAATGAGGCAAAGACGACACATATCTGTACCAACGTTTCTCTACTCAAATCCGTCTCCCCGGCGCATTCACCTTTCCTTTGCCGTATCGGATGAGCGTTCCCATGAATACAATGTTGCCGAGTGTTGCCAATCCGCTGGCTTCATCCACCGACCCGTGACTCTTACTGCACGGCTCCGTCTCACCCGTGAAACTGGACTCATCCACCAGCAGGTCCGTCGTCTGAGGAAACACACAATAAAATGAGAAGTTCCGAGAAAGACAGGAAGACGGTTACAGGAAATGCATGAATGTAACAGGAAGTACAGGAATATTATTACAGGAAGTACGGGAATATTAATACAGGAAGTACGGGAATATTAATACAGGAAGTATGGGGATAGTAATACAGGAAGTACGGGGATAGTAATACAGGAAGTACGGGGATATTATTACAGGAAGTACGGGGATATTATTACAGGAAGTACGGGGATAGTAATACAGGAAGTATGGGGATAGTAATACAGGAAGTATGGGGATAGTAATACAGGAAGTATGGGGATAGTAATACAGGAAGTAAAGGGGATATTATTACAGGAAGTAAAGGGGATAGTAATACAGGAAGTATGGGGATAGTAATACAGGAAGTAAAGGGGATATTATTACAGGAAGTAAAGGGGATATTATTACAGGAAGTAAAGGGGATATTATCACAGGAAGTACGGGGATATTATTACAGGAAGTATTGGGATATTATTACATCAAGTACGGGGATATTATTACAGGAAGCACGGGGATATTATTACAGGAAGTATTGGGATATTAATACAGGAAGTACGGGGATATTATTACAGGAAGTATGGGGATATTAATACATTTTTATTTTACATACAATTTCTTTTTTTTCCACTTCCTGGTCCTCTTGGGCACAAATGATGTCATCATACCCCAGCGTTGCATCCTGGGAAGGTGACATCCGCAGAGCATTGCTGGGGAAATCCCACATGTAATCTCACAGGATCTCAGGGAAAGGCCTTTTCCTCCCCTGAGATGATGATGGGCATGGTCACATGTCCTGGTCACATGTGCCAGAGTTCCAGGAAGTAAAGGGAGATGTATTTGCCCTTAGTTAAAATGGCCGCTGTGAGAAGACTGGGGGAGGAAAAGAGAAATGAGGAATGCCAAGAATACAAAGCCGGCAATGATCTAGAAGTCTCTGCGTGGAGATCGTCATCACTGAACATTTCTGAAGGTGACTTTGTTGTTATTTTGATGATTTGGGTAAAGTTCATCTTTAAAATGAACACAAAGGATTCCCAGAGCACGAGGGGGTATCTAAGGAGACGGTGTGGCAGTAGTGGTTTACTTTGAGGCAGACTGTCTCTAACTGAAACCACAGAGCCAGATGAAAGAAGGGGCGGAGTCACGTCTGTGGATGGGGCGCAGTCACGTCTGTGGATGGGGCGCAGTCACGGCTGTGGATGGGGCGCAGTCACGGCTGTGGATGGGGCGCAGTCACGGCTGTGGATGGGGCGGAGTCAATTCTCTCACCTATGATAGTAAATTGTGAATCTGTTTATTTGATACATTGTATCTTTTTTTTGTCCCGAGTATAATAAAAGGCAGAAAATATATCATAATATAGGATTTGATGACATTATAGATTGCACTCGGCAGTGGGCGCGGTTCAGGTATATAAGCGTTGGCGGTCGGGGGAGGAGCGGGAAGCGGCATTACAGAGCAGAGGTAAAATAACCTCCACCCAGAACAAACAAACTCTGGGAGAATGTGGCGCGGCTGTGCGTGACCTGCCACCGGGTTTTATAATGCCGAGGGACCGGAACATTCCGCAATCATATATAACATACCTGTGAAAGGTGAAACGTCCCTCACACGACGAGAGCAAACTAAACATAAAGAACTTCAGAGAACAAGGTGTGAGAAAGACTCCCCCGAACAGGAAATGTGATCCTCAGGTAACTAAACTGAGAAGTGTGAGGTGTGAGATGTGAGAAGAGGAGCTGTCACCCTAGGACAGGACTACAGAACACCTCCCTCACCTGAGCGCGCACACAGGTATCAGTACGGATCTCACCTGAGCGCACACACAGGTATCAGTACGGATCTCACCTGAGCGCACACACAGGTATCAGTACGGATCTCACCTGAGCGCACACACAGGTATCAGTACGGATCTCACCTGAGCGCACACACAGGTATCAGTACGGATCTCACCTGAGCGCACACACAGGTATCAGTACGGATCTCACCTGAGCGCACACACAGGTATCAGTACGGATCTCACCTGAGCGCCCACACAGTTATCAGTACGGATCTCACCTGAGCGCACACACAGGTATCAGTACGGGTCTCACCTGAGCGCACACACAGGTATCAGTACGGATCTCACCTGAGCACACACACAGGTATCAGTACGGGTCTCACCTGAGCACACACACAGGTATCAGTACGGATCTCACCTGAGCGCACACACAGGTATCAATACGGATCTCACCTGAGCGCACACACAGGTATCAGTACGGATCTCACCTGAGCACACACACAGGTATCAGTACGGGTCTCACCTGAGCACACACACAGGTATCAGTACGGGTCTCACCTGAGCACACACACAGGTATCAGTACGGATCTCACCTGAGCACACATTGAACCATCGGCTGTAACATAACGCAGGGATGGGGGAAGGGAAGCTGAGCGGCTTATATGGGGCAGAAAATCTCCAAATCCGCTAAATTAATATCAGAAACCCGAAGCCGATAATCCTCCCGGAGAGACACGCGGAACACTGCGCCATTGTGCGACGGGGAAGCTGAAGGACAAGCACCACTTCCTTCTCCACAGGGACCCGGGCCGGGCACCCCATCCACATACAGAAGAGGAAAGCAGAGAAGAACCTCCATAGCTACCTGTCCTTAGAGGTCTCCCCGCAGCCCCATAGCTACCTGTCCTTAGAGGTCTCCCCGCAGCCCCATAACTACCTGTCCTTAGAGGTCCCCCATCCATAGCTACCTGTCCTTAGAGGTCTCCCCGCAGCCCCATAACTACCTGTCCTTAGAGGTCCCCCCTCCATAGCTACCTGTCCTTAGAGGTCTCCCCGCAGCCCCAGACCTACCTGTCCTTAGATGTGCCCCACACCAGATGTGCAGATAAGAGGAAGCATTTCCTCAGTCTCCCCTCCCCCAGTGATCAGTCTGCTGCAGGCAGGAGGAAGCATTTCCTCAGTCTCCCCTCCCCCCGTCATCAGTCTGCTGCAGGCAGGAGGAAGCGTTTCCTCAGTCTCCACTCCCCCAGTGATGCACAAAGTGGCGTCTCTCTGGGGAGGAGCAGATGAAGACATAGTCGGGGGAGTCCTGTGATCTCTATAAGAGGGAATTAATACCTGGAGGGGGGAGTAGGGATTGACTTTGGGCCGGCTATGCAGACGTCTTGTACAGCCGGATTCGCTCTCCTCAATCATCTGAGCTCTGGCAGCCATGATGGCCTCTACCATGACTATGACTCCCATCATCCCCCCATTATTAATAAAGATGGCGCTGGAGCAGTCTCAGTGAAGCTGCGGGACGACATTCCTATACAATCCTCTCTCTGACCCCGCGCGCTCCGCGGAGCCGCTTTCCCGGTCATGCGAGAGAACTGAGCCGCCATTGTTCCGCCGCCTCGCTGGGAGCGGCGTTTCCACTTCTGGGGAATATTAACCCCGTCACCGCCGCGTCCCCGGGGAAGGTCAGGTAACCGCGGCACACCGAGGGCTGGAAATTGGCTTCACCGTTCCCGGCGGTATCACGTGACGGCGGCGGAACGTACGGCCACCACGGCGCAAATCTCATCATGTGATCAGATACCTGACGGGGGAGGGAGGAAAAATGAACAGATACAAGGGCAGTAAAATCGTCCTCCATCTCCGATCAGGTGACAACAGCGAAGTTTCCAGATACAGAGAGAGACGGACGCGCGGAGTTGGTGACCGCGCCACGGTATGTGTGGGAGACATTACCTCGATCAGTCTGATGTCTGCAGGAACTCGGTCGCCGACCATCAGGCACACCACGTCCCCGGGGACCAGCTCCCGTGCCAGCAGGTGCTGCAGCTTCCCATCGCGGACACTGCGGAGAGAGGCGGAGCGTTACCGATAAATCGCACAAACCACGCCCACAATTCCATGAACCAGCTGATCTCCGATTGGCCGCTGCTCACCATCACCCGACTTAAAGGGTAACTCCGCCTGGGAGTAACTTTTCAATCTTTTCATCCTGACCGTTCTCTGGAGTCACACGGCTCATGGGGGGGCGACGCCCATTTGGCGATAGACGCAGCAGTGCATTGTGGGACTGAAGAGGCCGCCAACAGGTCTCCTTTAACAAACCCACTCCCCTCCACCCACCGGGGACTCACCAGTTGCATTCTGGGGGAACCAACTTATTTAACTCTTCCAGAGACTTCTCCGAGCGATATTCCTGGAAAACAGATACAAAGAGTCATCGTCCAATCAGAGCGCAGGCCCCGCCCATGCAGATAACGATCGGTATTCACCCCCCAATAGAGAACCTTATCTCTCACTAGACCGACTGCACTACCGCCATCGATGGACCGCCAGTGACATCATCATACCGCCCGGTGACATCATCATACCGCCCGGTGACATCATCATACCGCCCGGTGACATCATAAAGCGTAGACCAGACAGTCCACAGTGCGGGTCATGAGATCGTCACTAAACCATTTACAGCAGAGAGGACGACCCGCCCCGGAGTGACAGTCCACACTTCTCCATACTGAGATCCCCCCCGCAGATCCCCC